TATTATTAAGTAGGGTTCTTTGATTTGTAATCTCTCTAATAAGTACAGGATTAAGAGAATGACACTGTATACCACTTTTGAAGTGCTGCAGTGATGTCTGGTCTATTATACTATTGATAGTAGGGTGGATATGAGTTCTCTAACCTTCCCTACAACAGGTGAAAAAAAATGAGTCTAAGAGAATACAAATATACTGTTCTGAAACTATAGTGTTCAACTGTATATTATAAAGTGGGAGAAAGGACCCTGAAGCCTGATAGTGAGATTGACTTGTAAGTAATTCTAAGTGAAGCAAACCCTAGAGGAGGTCACCAGCAGTGACCTAGGGGGTATAAACCCTATTAAGCCAGAGACTGGAAAGCCAACCACCAACAGAGAGAGATTTTTTCGATTTTGGCATCTGAAAGGTGTTCTCCCATACACAGCCTTTAGTATCTGAGCACTCCCTCTGCTTTGGGGCTGGGGTTGAGAATTACCCGCCATGGAGCTTAGAGTAAGACAAGAAGGGTTTTTGTTAGCTGATGTTGCTTTCCTTTAATTCCATCTGCTTAATTCCAACCGATTTTGGAATGATTGCTTTGGTCCAGCAATTCTGCTTTTGGAAATCTGTCCTAAAGAAATAAATAATCAGAGATGTACAAAAAGACCTGATTATGGGAGATACTGTCATGGCATTTTGATTGGAAAAAATTGGAAAAGACATAAATGGCTATAAAAATTATGGTACAGCTTTAATATAAAATGTTATGCAGCCCTTAATAATCATGTTATAGAAGAATATCATTTGGGGAAAATGCAAAATATTGTTAAGTTAGGAAATATTTCAAATCATTTTTTAAAGAGGTGCATTGAAAAACTGAAAGGATAAATACTTCTACATAAAGCCTGGGTTCTGAAGGTAGGTGCCCATTTGAATCCTTACTATCACTATATGATCTTGAACAAGCTACTTGTCTGTTTTAGAATGACAGGATGATTGTGAGAATTACATGAAATAGTTACATAAATTATTTAGAACAGTGACTGATAACACAATAAGCATTGATACAGTCAAAGATTTACTGGCAAAACATTATTTACAATAGCCAAGATATGGGAGCAACCTAAATGTCCATCAACACATGATTGGGTAAGGAAGATGTGGTACATATACATAATGGAATATTACTCAGCCATAAAAAGAATGAAATCTTAACATTTGTGACAACATGGGTGGATCTAGATGCTATTATACCAAGTGAAATAAGTCAGGTAGAGAAAGACAAATACCTTATTATTTCACTTATATTTGGAATATAAAGAACAAAACAAATGAGCAAGCGAAACAGAAACAGACTCATAGATAGAGAGAGCAAACTGCGGGTTGCCAGACAGTAGGGAGTTGGGAGGCTAGGTAAAAAAGTTGAAGTGATTAAGAAGTACAAATCGGTAGTTGCAAAGTAGTCCCATGAATGTAAAATATAGCACAGGAATATAGTCAATAATATTGTCATAAGTGTGTATGGGTATTAAACTTATTGTGGGGAATCACTTAGTAAGTTATATAAATGTCTAACCACTATGCTCTACACCTGAAACTCATATAAAATAATATTGAATGACAACTGTATTTGATAAATAAAAAAAATAAAGATGCAAAGAAGGGAAAAAAGTCTTACTGGCAAAGATGTAACAGTAACAGACTCTGACTTCTGTTTCTATTACTCTCTGACGCTATCCACCCTTCAACAAATGTTTAACATATTTTTTTACTTAATTGTTTTTATTGAGGTATAATGGACATATAACATTAGTTTCAGGTGCACAAATAGTAATTCAACATTTGTATTTATTGTAAAATGATCACCACAATAGGTCTGGTTAACATCTGTTACCAGTTACAATTTTCCCATTGAAAACATTTAAGATTTTCTTCCAGCAATCTTCAAATATGCAATACAGTGTTATTACCTATAGCCATCATTCTATATATAAGTCTTGACTTATTTTACTGGAATGGAGGGAGATACAGAGAATTTAGAAAGCTGGCAATATTGGGTTAATTCTAGGCAAAAGGAATAATTTTATCCCTTAAACATTGGGTAATTATTAAAAGTTGGCTTATTAATGTTCCAATTTCCCACTCAAAGGAGCTCACATTAGATTTGTTCTACTCATGTTACATTAAAAATAACAAAGACTACTACATATAAGTGTTGTCTATAAGAATCACATCACCAGACCTAATCATCTATTCAGAGCTAATGGTAGAACGGTTTCCATGATAAAATTGGCTGCGTACAGATGGGATATTAGGGATATTAGGGATATTAAATTGCCTTTTCTTTCTTCTTTTGATTCTTTTTTAAAATTTTTTTATTTATTTATTTTTAGAAGGGAAGGGAAGGGAAGGAGAGAAATATCAATGTATGGTTGCTTCTGGTGCATCCCCTGCTGGGAACTGGCCTGCAACCCAGGCATGTGCCCTGACAGGGAATTGAACCTCCATGTTTTGGTTCACAGGCCCATGTTCAATCCACTGAGCTATACCAGCCAGGGCTTCTTTTGATTCTTTCATACTACTTATTGAATAACATGTGAAACATTTTTCCCTCCCTCACCAGAGGACATGCTTTAAGTGAGAGAGGAAGGGAGAGAAACATTGATGTGAGAGAGAAGCGCTGATTGTTTGCCTCTTGTACCAGGGGTTGAAACACAACTTAGGTATGTGCTCTAACCAGGAATCCACCCCTCAACCCTTTGGTTACAGGACAATGCTTCAACTAATTGAGCCACACTGGCCAGGGCACACATGGAACTTTCTGTAACGGTTTCTAAATCCTCTCCAATCTGGCCCCAGCCTACTATGCTAGCATTCCATACCAATGCCATTTAATAGAAATATAATGCAAACTACATGTGTAATTTAAAATTTTCTAGTAGCCACATTTTAAAAAGTAAAAAGAAATAGGTGAAATTAATTTCAATATATTTTATTCAACCCAACATATCAATATTATTTTGATATATAATCAATATGGAACATTATTAATGAAATATTTTGTATTATTTTTTTCTATAAAGTTTGTTGATCTGATATGTATTTTATACTTCCAGCACATCTCAATTTGGACTATCACATTTCAAGCCACATATATTGTTAAAAAATATTTCATATAGCATATTGTTATATGTGGCTTGAAATATTGGACTGTGTTGTTATATTGGACTGTGTGATTAAACACAATGTCAATCTTCTACACAACAGTCAACACTTCAAGCAAAGCAGACTCTTCTCAGTTTCAAGACTGTGTCTTCTAATTCCTCATCCCTCTCCTCTCCTCATTATTTATGCTGTTTCTTCAAACTACATCTCTTGAAATCCTATTCATTTTTAAAGACCCAACTCAAATGATACCTCTGCCACAAAACTTTCAATGATGATGTTAAATAGGAAGGAAAGATTAATTCAAGAGACTATAGACACATTCAGTTTATAGATTCAGTAACAGAGTCATACATTTATTACTCACATTGAAAAAAATAAAATTGAGCCCTGGCCAGTTATCCCAGTTGGTTAGAGCATCATCCCCACACAATACACCAAGGTTGTGGGTTCTATCCCTGGTCAGGGCCTGTATCCACGTTTCTCTCTCCCTTTTTCTCTTTCAACAAAAATTTAAAAAATAAAATTGGATCTTACAACATGTACAAATGTCAGTTCAAGTGAATTAAAGGCTTAAGTGAAAAAGCAAAATGTTTAGAATTTACTAAGCTGAATTTTGTTATTTAATAGTAACATTTTTAGGAAATCAAAAGTTATAGGTAGACTGCGGGGGTCAGAGCCCCTAACCCTGCGCTGTTGTTGAAGGGCCAACTGTAGTTGAAGTCTAAGGGAATTTTTTGCCTGCAGAAAATCAAAGGAGAGAGTTAGGGATGGGAGGTGGCAGCTGCCTTCAAATAACAGAGTAGTATTCATATTGGAAAGAATGAAGCCTTACTCTTTTCTAAAGTGCAGAACTGAAACAAATAGAAATTGCGGAATAACATACTTCCGTTCAGAAAATCCTCTAACATTTATAATCATTCTAAAATAAAATGAGATATTTGGCGGAGGTAATAGCCTTTGGCAGCCGAGAGGCTGAAGACGACCCATTTGCGAGGTTTGTTGAAGCTACTTTTAAATTGGGAGAGATCCCTATGACCTGGTTGTGTGAGCGCAATCAGCTCCATTTCATTGTTCTTTGCACCTCCCCTCTAGCATTTACCACCTGTGTGGAAGTGGTTCGAGTCTGTATGTCTTATCTCCCCCAACTAGCTACAGCACTAGGGGGCCGTTTCCTCTCTTCAGCCTCCTCCGGGATTAAGAATGAAGAACGCTGAGGAACACAGAGAGTACCGTTTTTCTAATGAGCTGAAGCCGGCTTTCGAGGATGCTCTCACGCTTCTCCCCTTTCAGTTTTTTGATCTCCTGGGACACAGCTGCAGATATCACAAGACCTTGCGATTTCCTGAAATGTTCGCTCTTGGGACCTCACAAGTCTCAGTCACCCGCGCTTCGCACCCCGTCCTCCTGACCGAGACCTATCTCCGCACTCCGCCCTCCTGACCAGGACCTATCTACTCTGTGGTAGGGCGCGGTCATCCTCTCTAGCCCTCGAGTTCACCATCTATGGTTGCCCGAGGCCTCCCCGGAAGCTCGGCTGTGAGACGGATTCTGGCGGCCGGAAATTGCGCTCTCAGCGCTGGCCGTTTCGAATTGCTGCTGGTCCCTCCAGACCTTTGACATCCTCTTCCCCACGGGCTTGGCGTGAGAGCGGCTCGTGGAGCGCTAAGGTGTGGTTCTTGGGTCAGGAAGAGGGGGGCGGGCGGCGTGGCCACGTGGCCCCGTGGCCGTGTGGCTAGTTCTCCGGGCCTCAGAGCTGGGGGAGCTGGGGGAGCGGGCGGGAGAAGCCCGCGGTGTGGGTGGCGGCCTTGGGACAGTCGCGCACGGCGGAAAAAGGGCTGGTGGGGAAAGGGTTGAGAGGTCGGGACCCACGGAAGAGGAAGATGGAGGTACGTGACGTGGTGCCTCTCCTCCAAGATGTTACAAACCTAATGAAATAGCCGGATTGGCGATGTTCAACTGGATGCAGAATTTGAGGAATACCGAGGCACTTTGGAGAAACGAGATACGAGAGAGGACGCAGGGAGGACAAGGAAGTGTCTCAGAAGTTTAAGGTAGCAATTTTCAGAAGGGCTCTGGGTCATGTGTCTCAGAAGCACGCGGAGCTTGTTTGAAGAATGCTCATTTTGGGGCCACATCCAGACCTCCCCAAGCAATATCAGGAGATGGGGCTTGGGAATACGTATTTTAATCAGCGCAGCCCACCCTCCCCTCGGTTGATTCTGGTACAGCCTAAAGTTTGAAAGCCACTGTTTTAGAACGACGCCCAAAGAAAGTGCTGCTGTTGTTTCTCATCTGTGCCGGGCAGATCACAACTTTCTATAGTTGCAATTTAAAATTGCAAATAGTGTGTGCCTGTTAAAAAAATGCACACAATACGGAAGTGTGTGACGTTAATCCACCGTCCCTGTTTTCCTCCTCAAGCTAGCTACTGTTAACTGCCTGTGTTATATCCTCTGGACTTTTGTACGCACACATTTTAAACAGCAGTGGGATCATTTTGTATGTATGTTTCTGCACCTTAAGTTTTTCAGATAATATCAGGGACAGCTTTACATAAAATTTACATGGAATATTGTCTTTTGGGTTATTCAACAGTTTTCTTTAAACAGTTCCCCATTGATGGGTTTTTAGATTGTTTCCAGGCTTGTTATTGGTTTTGCAAACTGCTAGAGTAGTATATACTGTCATACACTTCATCTTTGTACATGTGTAGGCAGACTTAGTAAGAACTAAAAAGTAGGAATAGTGGTTTTTTAACAAGAAGAAGTTTTTATTAACTTTTTAAAAAATTATTTATTTATTTATTTTTAGAGAGGAAGGAAGGAGAGAGGGAGAGAAATGTCAATGTATGGTTGCTTCTCGTGAGTCCCCTGCTGGGAACTGGCCTGCAACCCAGGCGTATGCCCTGACTGGGAATCGAACCGCAATCGTCAGGTTTGCAGGCCCGCGCCCAATCCACTGAGCTACACCAGCCAGGGCAGTTATTATTAACTTTTGTTAAAAAAATTCAACCAAATAAATTTGAAGCTCTAGTTGGCTTTAAGTGATTCATGAATTGGGCAACATCCCATCTAGCTACTAGAAGGGAGCTCGTGGGGTTGTGCAAAAATAGGAAGAAGGGTGGAGCAAAGGAAAGGAAGAATTAGTTTGTAAATTTATTTTTTTTTTTACAGTTGGCATACAGGCAGGATTGGTTTTGAGCCAAGACACCTTTTCTTTTGGGGAAGAAAATGAAAGGGTTTTTATCATGCAGATTGCCTCTTTCCATGGAGGAATGGAGAGGGTCCGAATTGACTAGTATTTGACTAGAAAATTTGAGGTTGATTAAGATTACATTTCTGGGAGAGGCTGAAACTGCAGTTCGATCTGGTATTAAATCTATTGACAGGTTCGGTATCATGGGCTTTTAGCATGGACCCATTTTGGGCCCTTGATTTATTTATTTATTTTAACACTCGTGTATTTAAGTGAAAGAATCCAGACAACAGTGTTTAATAGAGATCCTGAGGGTTTTAAATAATTGATAAGAATGCTTAGTTCTGCTAATTTCTGACAAGAAGCTTTTATTTTAATTCTTAAAGTCACAATTGTCTTCAGAGGTAGAGATTTGAAGATGAGGTATAGGAGTTTCTTGAACTAAGTGTAACAAAAAGCCACTCTTTCATCATCCTGATGAATAGGACTGTTCTTGCTCTCCATGATTTCAGTGTAGTAGGAGACACACAAAAGTATACATGTAATGTAGTCTTTTCTGAGATTTGCTTTGGTGTCATCAGCCTCCCTTCACCAAGGGAGGTGACTTTTGACCTGGGTGTGATAATTTTTGAGAACAGAAAATAGGCATAAAAGAGGAGAAAAGACTGGTGCTAAGGCAGTGGCTTTCGAACATTTTCAACCATGACTGCCACTTGAGAACACTTTTTATATTGTGACTCAGTATACATTGGAAGGGTGATGGCTAAGAGCTCTGGCTCCGCAGACCATGATTTTGGGCAAGTTATTTTCCTCTTCTGTTTCACTTCCTTTTCTGAAAATGAAGAAATAATGTATTTACCTCTTAGGATCTCTATAAGGGTTAAGTTATTGTATATAAAGTGCTTTAAAATGTGCCTGACACAAAGGTGCATAATTGTTAGGTGTTTACTGTTCTCAATATCAGGAACAGGTTCCACAGAGCAAACTTACCATTGTTACTCACGTTTTTTTTTTTTTTTTTGAGACTTTATTTATTTCTAGAGACAGGGGAAGTGAGGGAGAGAGGGAGAGAAATATCAATTGGTTGCCTCTCACATGCCCCCTACTGGGGACCTGGCCCACAACCCAGGCAGGTGCCCTGGCTGGGAATGACACTGGTGACTCTTCAGTTTGCAGGCCAACACTCAACCCACTGAACCACAGCAGTTAGGGCTCACTTATGATTTCTTTAATGGAGGGGAGGTGTTAAGACCAGTGGGGTGGTTACAATTTATAGTTTGAAAATAATATAAAAACCCTGAGAGGCGAGTGGAATAAGAGTTAGAAAACTTAAAGAAATTGAGTTCATTGTTCATTATGGTGTGTGTTGAGTAGTGAGGTGGAGACTTGGAGTAGAGTACCAAGATGAAATGAAGAGTAAGTTGGGGACATGGTAAAAGCTTATGTATGCATCCCTGGGGAGGTGGCTGAGTTTTGGGAAATGGGAGTGCCTGCTGCCTTAGCTCTACATTTAGGATAGTCCTGTACTCTTCAACTGCCTTGAAAAACCCAGGTATTTTGGTCTCGTTGGTTGTTTTGGGTTCTGCTGTATTGTGGAATAATGAGGGAGAGTCCTTTTGAAAGCAGGCAGACAAAACTGCACCCCTGGCCTGGTGGCTCATTTGGTTGGAGCCTTGTCCCAATAAGCCAAGGATGTGGGGTCAGGGCACATACAAGAAGCAACCAATGAATTTATAAGTAAGTGGAACAACAAATCTTATGTTTCTCTCTTAAAAAAATAAAAAATAACTGCAAAGAGAACTTTCTTTCCTCATTTCATTTAAAAGCAGGCATATTCTTTCAGCTGTCTCTATTCACTCCTGGCTTTATTATTAAATGGAGAGAAACACATCCCCACAGAGCCAAAGCAGTATAGGTTAGTGGTACTGATTATTTTAGTATAACTGGAATATTTTCCAAGAGTACCAGTTTTTCCAGATAAACTCATAGAATTTTTTTACTGTTTTCCCTACATTGGTGTGTGCCATTCAATAAGGTAATTTATTTAAAACAATAACCTATTGTTAATCAAATCATAGATGTCTCATTTTACCTTTAAACATATAGGGATGTTATCTCTTAATTGGATCAGGAGTTTAAAAAAAATTACCACAGTGCCTTTCTACTACAAACAACAGTTTCTTAATAGTATCGCATACATAGTAAATAATTTAAAATGTACTGATTTTTAGGGGGAAAAGACAGTTTATAGATGACACATTGTATTAGGTTTATGTTTTTGTAGTATCCCCACATCAACCATACCCTCTACCCCAGGTCCTGTGGAATTTCTTACATTTTCGATTTGGCAAATTGCCTGCTTTTAGTATTTACTCATTCCTCTACCTTCCATTTTTCCTTCGAACAGGTAGGTAGCAGGTAGATCTAGTGTTGGGAACCGCCCTGCCTGGTTTCAGAAGCTGTAACCCCCCATGGCTAAGGCTGAATGAGAGACCTTGGGACCCTAAACTACTAAGGAGACAAAGCTCATTTTCCTGGCAGGAGCACTGCCTCTGCCCCCTTTTTACTTCACCCTGTCAGGCCCCCAGTACATGACTGGTTAGTGATGGGTAAGATTCCTCAAGGGAGGGATGACTTAAGACAGGCATGGTCATGGGGGGGCCTCAGGGAAAGATTTGGGGGGCTGTGGAGAAAGTGGGTGATGGACCCTCATCCCTCAGCTTGCCATAGCCTGAGTCCTCATTCTGTCTGCAAGAAGTCTCCTAATATCTTGGCTGCCTTACTTCCCCTGCCTGACTTAAGCCTGAAACAATGCTGGAGGTGGGTGCCGCCCTGTGCTGGAAAGGGCGGTTCCCTGGGGCAATCAGGTTTAAGAAAGAATGCATAAAATCCTGTGAAACCTGCTTTGCTAATACCCTCAATTTAAATGATAAGGGTCCAAGCCTGAAATGAGTTTGTTTCCCCAAAGTTTTATGGCTCTTTAGCTATTTGACCCTGAATCAAAATAGGCCCTCGGAGTACTTTGAATGTTACATGTTTGATCATTACTGCCCGACAATGATTGATGAGCTTTCCATATATGCTCTGTATTCCTATGCAGATTAAAGCCAGTAAAAGCCTGTCAAGGCAAGGGTTGGGGCGCTCTCCTCTTGAGAGAGTAGCCTGTCCTTTTTCCTCCATAGGACTCGGTGGTCCATGCGAATTTGTCTCGTCTTAGCCTAAACACTGCTGACTTTGGCCTGGAGTCTGCATCAATCTAGAAGCTTGATTAAATTTGGATTGGGGGGCAAGAATACTTCATAGGAGGTAGGGGAGTAAGGAATGTGTGAATGACCTTTTTATTTTTATGTGTGTTTTTTAAAAACTTTACACGAAGATATGCTCATTGATTTTAGAAAAAGAGGAAGGAGAGAGAGAGAGCGATGGAAAAAAACAATGATGTGATAGAACTTCAGCTTAGTCATGTGCCCTGAGCAGGAATCGAACCTGTGACTTTTTGGTTAGGGGACTCTGCTCCAACCAGGTCACAGTGGCCCAGAGCTAAATGAGATAAATTTGATCATGGGTTAAATACTAAATGCTAACCTTGTCCCACGTGTTTTAAAGTTCCTCTTCCCCTAGCGTTTCACATCAGTGGTTTCAGTATTTATTAATGATAGTTGAGGCAGTGACATTTGTCGTGAGATTTGAAGAGTTTAGGATGAGTCAGTCTTGTACAGAACTCACAGTTCTCAAATGAAGGAACTGGGTTGCAAAGAGCTTCATTAAAGCAGGAAACAAAGTTCTGCTTGAGAAGCCGAAAGGTCAGTGTGGCTGGGACGCAGGAAACATGGGAAAAAACAGTGCAAGTGGAAAG